TGATCACAAGAGTTGCAGGGAAGGGACAATTTGGTTTACCCAGAATCCAGGCTGCAGGGCACTGGACCAGATCTAGGACCAGCTACTCTTTCCTCTCCTGTGTCTGACAGGAAGGAAGAATTAAATGGCAATTAAATGGTTCAGGGCAAACATCTGTGGGATAATCTGGTCCTCTATATGGCATTTATGGCTCAGGCATGCAGCTGTGCCTTTTTAGAGTTTGTCTTCATTTCTAGAGGAAAGGAAAAAATATGCTGCCAGGATTTTTATTATTATGACAGGAATCTATAATTTTGATTTCTGTAACCAAGCAAACACCCAAATCCCTTTGAAAACTTTGCTAGTTTCTTGATCTGAATCAGCTAAGAGGTGGCTGAATAAGCAGGGAATTAATAAAATAAAACCTGATTTAAAGGACAGAAATGAGTCAAATTTCTCCTTGCCTGCTTTGGAACAAGAAACCTTTCCATTTCTTGGAAATTGAGTGCTTGTGGAAGACTGAGGGCTGCAGCAGTAGAGTCTCAGGCCAGCCACATCCTCACTGTGTGGGTTTCTTCATGCTCTTGAACATTTCTCCTAATTGTTAATTAGCTTAATAAAGGGTGCATAAGAAATGAATGATCCTAGTTATGCTTTCAGGGGAGAAACTAAGCTGACATAAGCTTTCCAAGGCAATCAAGCCCATTTAAGCTGTGAGAGGTTACCCAGCCTGTGTTAGGATGGCACAGTGCTCTGGATGCTGGAAGAAGGTCTGTGTCCTGAGGCTGCAAGCTGACAGCCTTTCCCTCATAGGGAAATGCAGAGATTTGTAGATGGTTGAGACGTGTGAGGAACTGACAAAACATAGATGAGAGGTGCAGCGTAGAAGGGACAGGCTGCACCTGAGCTGTGGCATAGACAACCTGTGTCACTGGGAATTGAAGAGCTTTTAGAGGAACTTTTCCACTAGAAGCAGAGGAAAGCTGACAAATCCAGAGGAGTATCCAGTTTTGAACTCCTGTGATCTGCAAGGTGGACAAGGCTGACATTCAGGTTACCTCTGAAAAAACACACAAGGGAAATAAACATCATGATCATGATACATGAGGAAGACAAAATAGAATACAGTGGCAAGGATTTGGCACATGCAGTATTAAGCAACAAAGCAAAGATAAACTTTTTTTTATCAAAACTTTTTTGTACAGTTTTGCACAGTTGCTAGAGACTTCAAAATCAAGCCAGAACCCAAAAGCCTGTACCAAATGACAACCCTGAGACAGAAGGTGTCTCAGAGACTTAGTGGAGGCTAGAACACCAATGAGATACAGCACTGCCAGCCTCACAGGAACGACCGAGTAGGATGTAGAGGGGGAGGAGTGATTCTGGATGTGAAGGATAAAAATGTTACGGCATAAAAATATAAAAAAATATCTAAAAACAGGAAAAGAGAAGCACCCTAAAAACCTGTGGGTGGAAATCCCAGTTGCTACTGATAAAAACGCTGTAGTAGAACTGTACTACCCTTTTTGAGTTCTGTGGGAGTGGTCAGTGAGGCCAGAGGAGCAGTAAATGTGGGCTGCTGGCATGAGTGGGAGCCTGCATACTGGCTGGATCAGTGCCTCGTCAGGATGAGGTGTAGAAGCAGAATTTTTGGTAGCAATAAATCCCTGCTTTAGGATTTGAGTAACCCACAGAAACAAATGCTAGAGAGAGGTGCAAGGATTTTGTTTGAGGGATGCTGGTGGAAAACTGCTCTGGGGTTGCAATCGTACAACATGATCCCTTTTAACACTGAAATGGGAGAAAGCAGACTCTGGGCATCCAATGTGGGAGTATTCAGTTTCAAGGAAGGCAATTAAACAAACTGAGGCAAGTATTAGAAACAGTTACCCCCCAGCTGCAGCATTAGCTCCATAGGGGTCCCTGGGACCACGGGTTGGTGCCCATCCTGGGCAATGTAAGAGGCGCTATCCTGGGGACAAGTTGCTGGCTAGGAAATCTCAGCCCAGTTTTGCAATGAGTAACAAAGCAGAACAAACACAGTAATTCAGCACTGTGTTGGTGTGCTTGTGTTTCCCTTTGTTTTCAGCATATCTCAGAGAGAGACATGGACACGTGGCTCAAACAGACCCAGCTGCAGCATTTGGAATCAACCATTGGAAAAATCTGTTCTCCCACGTGGTTTAGGGCTCTGACCCAACAGGGCCTTGCTTTTGACACTGCTTTCCTGCTGCTTCAGTTACTGCTGAAAGAGGTAATTAATTTAATTGGTCCCTCTGCCTGGTTTCTTTGAAAGCCAGTCATTGCAGCTCCAGACTCCCAGCAGATCCCTGCCTGAGCCACGGAGGGATCAGCCCATGCCACCTGCAGCTTAACGAGTTGATGAGAAAGACTCCACCTCACACTTGCTTTCTATTGTAGGAAGCACATTTAAATAGATTTCCCAGTAGTAACATCAGTTGTAAAACCAAATCACTGGACCTCAACAGCGAAAGGTTTTCTTCAGTGTCTGTAATTTGTTTTCCATTTTCTGGCTGCTGACTCTGATTCGGCAGTGTTAGCCTGGAAAGGTCCTTAAACAACACCTATTGCATTTCCCTTCTCTACAAAACATGACGGCAAAAAAAGCAGGTTTAGATTAGATATTAGGAAGAAATTTGTTATTGTGAACACTCACAGTGTGGGGCACTGGAATAAGTTGTCCAGAGAAGTTGTAAATGGGATGCTCCATCCTTGGAAGTGTTTAAGGCCAGGTTGGATGGCACCCTGAGTGACCTGGTCTAGTGGAAAGTGTCTCTGCCTGTGGCAGAGGATTTGGAACTTGGTGGTCTTTAAGATCCTTTCAAACTCAAACCATTCTGTGATTATATATGATGTACAGCTACTTTTACATGTTGGTCTTTAATGTTATTTAAAACACCCAGGAAATGTTGCATTGCTTCATTATCCTGAAAGGTTTTTTTTTAAAGTATCCAACAAATCTGCTGCTAAATTCACTGCTATTTGTCTTACCCTCAAAGGGAATGGAAGGATGTAGGGCATTGCCCTTCATTTCTTTTGCATATTAGAAAATCATAACTCTGTGCTTTCTCTCTTTATTTTTTTGGGAAAAAAAAATCTAATTCTCTATTTCCATAGGCTATACTTTCCATCAGGGTTGTGATTGTCCTGAGCATACTTTTGCTGGTGCAACAGGCATGGCATGATATGGCACAGCCATGGCTTCTCTCTTGACCACTGATCCCATTAGATAAAGATTTTAATTGATCTGAGATGGTTTTTCCCTGCCAAGCCAGGCTGCCAGAACCCTCCTTACAGTTTCTTGCTGCTTTGTTGTCCCACTGGATCTCTTGAAGGAACTAGTCAATCCTTTACTCTAGCACCTTCCTCAATGTTTCAGGCAGGCGTCTTGGTCTTTGATTCCCTGGACCTTTCTTTCCCCTCTGATGTGGCTTTTCTTTTTCCTTGCCTGTGCTTCCACTTTTTCTGATGTGTTACTTGGTGTTGGATCATTTGCTTTGCAAGATGTTTATTGTTTTTGGTTTTGTTTTTTTTACCAGGCCATGGATCAAAAGGGTGACCAAGAGTGTGACTGCATCTGCTCTGTCTACATCAGGCAGAAAAAAACTTCCAGTAGCATGACTAGAAAAAGATCAGAAGGGAACAACAATCTGAGCTCATTATTTGTCAGGAAACTTGCTCACAATTTAAGGCAGCATGCTACTGTTAAACTTTCCTTAATTATTTACTCCTTCCTACCAATTTATCAAGCTTTAACTCATTTTCTGCAGAGATTTTCTGCATTCACTGCAAAGTTCTGATACCCTAAAACAACATTTGGAACAAAATATGGAATTTTCAGAACTTGGAATTTTAAATAGACTTTAAAATATAAATTATCCTTTGTGGTGATGCTGCACAACTCAGCAGGCAGGTCCTTGGGTGTTGCTATGCTACCACAACATGAAGCAGCAGCTTCATAGGTAACACTTGCACAAATTGGACTCCTGAGGAGCTCAGAGATCTGCAGAGCTGGCAGCACCAGTAGTGGTGACAAGGAGCTTGCTGGCAGCAACTGAGGATGACATGAAGGCAACCAAAGAAAGCTCCACTCTTGTTCACCCTTGGAACTCAACCCCCAGTTTTGTACACATAGGCAGCAATGAGATTCCCTGCCCCATCTGAAGTTTATACTCATCTACCAAAAAATTCATTCATAGGCTTTACATAAGAGGCTTATGTAACACAGAGGTTTACATAACATAATACACCAAAGACTTCATCCTATGAATTTTACATAAGTTATGTCAAGTAGGCAACCATGTGATACATTTCATAAGTTTGTATTACAAAGTAATGATTTTAGTGAAATTGTAACATAGTTCAGAATTCACTAAAGACAAAATATAGCTCAATATCTGTGGTTGCTCAACACTGAACTGTTTATGGTAGTCTTAAAAAAAAAAAAAAAAATCGGTGACATTTGAGACAACCAATGGCTCCCTCTGGTCTCCAGAGGTGATAAAATTAGTTTGCTTGTAACATATGCTAATTATGCTGTCCTTGCCATGATGGTAAGCAGATGAGTGATTGGCAAGACAAGGGGAACAGCATTAAAATTGCTCTACTTGCAAAAGCTGTCTGCAATTCAGCTCTCATGCTGCCTGTGTTGACCCTGCCTAGCAGCCCAGGCACATGCAGAGCACTGCCCCTTTCTGCCAGCAAGGACTGCCAGGCACATCACTTCTGCATCAGCAATGGTGGCAGCTGGAAGAAAAGTACTCTGACACCTCCAAAATGGTAATTTGAAATGTGAATATTCCTATTACCACGTTCACAAGTTTGGGTCAGCAGGCAGGCTCAGGCCCAGCTCTTCTGACCTATCCAGTCTGCAGCACCATTATTCACTCCCTGTTCTCAAACTGAGTTTTAGACCCCTCCCAAGAGTACTCAAAGGGGTCATTTACTCAAGTAGATTGCTACCCACCAAGCCCCATGAAACTGAAAAAAAATAAACATTGGGATTTAACACTTATCTTTATTTCTATTTTATTCTCATTTTTGTTCTCTAATTAATAAATTGGCACCGAGAGACCCATCCACTTTCAAACAGACCAGAGCTCATTCACTTCTTTTACAAACTGGGAATCCTGGCAGAGGGACAGATGCTGAAATGCTTTTAAATTTGGAGGAAACTCAGCATAAATGTGCCAAAGCTAAGGCAGGAAAGGCTGTGGGGGTTTTTACCAAAACTATTGCTGTGATACAGCTCCCGGCACGGGTGTGCATGAGGCTGACTCCTGCTCCAAGGGCTGCTCTCTGACAGAAAGGCATTTTGCCTGCTGTGGCACTTGCAGTATTTTCCATATAGATGCCCTGATGAGCTCCACAGTTGCATCATGGCCGTGGACTCAGGAGACCAACCAAAGCATGTTTTAGTATTGTCTCCCTCAAGACTGGCTACAGGAAAACTGCTACTGCAGAGACCAAAGGCTCACCGAGAAGTCTCTTCAATGCTCCTTAGCCAGCAGCACCAAGGGAAGGAAAACAGGGTGTTCATCTCCTGCATTGGCCATGGAGAGGGAAGGAGGTGGACGCAGATGGGGAGAGCACAGCTGATGCCCAGGGAGAGCTGTTTGTCTCCACGTCTGGGAGATGCACAAACCGCCCTGAGGTGCAGCTCTGAATGGGAAGAGTCACCTTCCTCACTCATAATTTAAACATTGCACTGGTCTGTCCCCATCTGCCTTTCAAAGGCCCCGAGCTTGTGGGATCTCATCCTTGGGGGGTCTCCTGGAAGGCTGTGCTGATCTTGCCCATCAGCGAGCCGGAGGCTGGGATTTGCTGACGCCAGCAAGGTGGCATTGGTAATGCCACCAGCATCAGTCCTGCCAGGAGTCTGAGGAACTGCTCTGGGTACTACTATCACTGCTGGGCCAGTCTGCAGAGGGGAGGCTCGGTGGGTTTACGACCTAGAACCCATGTCTCTTAAAGTACTGGGCTCGCCTAATCACGTTGTTGGCGTAGCTGTAGTCTCTCATGCATGGGTCTGCCTCATAGACAGGGAGGTTGCCCATTCTTGCATGGTAGGTGCAGATACCCCCTGGAAAGAGTTAAGAAGGAATTGTTATGTGCTTGTGAGTAAGAAACAGAGATTTAAGAGCAAAAATTTGTAGCAAAAAACGCCATGCATCTCACCAAACAAGAATTGCCTGACAATGTCCCAATTGTGCATTATTGTTGAAAAGTGACTGATTTTGTAAAATCTTTATTGCTATAGTGAAGGAACCCATGACTCTCTCCAAATGCAGGTGGAAATGGAAAGCTGTTACCAGAAAGGGGTGTAATCAGAGCAAAGGAGGGGCAGTAGCAGGGAAAGGAAGGGAGAGTAAGAAATAGCCTAGGGTGAACAAACCAGCACACAGATAGCATGGACTACAAGGAAACCTTGATCTCAGTCTTCCTGGATGCAACTTAACAAGTTGCCACAATAATCCTGTTGTGTTGTGATGCCTCAGTTTCTGCATTCTCTAGTGACTTTTGTTTAGTTGCTTTCTATCTTATTTATCCACCTAACAGCCATTTCTCATTGCCAGTCTGCTGGTCTGGTTCTGCTGTTCTTCTTGTTATTTCAGGGCTTTGAGGGTTTCTTTTGTTTGTTTGGGGTTTTTGTGGGGGGGTTTTTTGTGTTTGGTTTTTTTTTTTTTTTGGTAAGAGATGCTGTAAAATATTCCAGAGTGATGCTGTTTTTCCCTTAAAAGTGCCACCAACAAGCACACAACACTCCCATCAGTCCATCAGTCAGTCTATCCCTTCCTAGTACAAAGCCCATTCCATACCTCTCAGCTGCCGGTCCCAAGTCCAGGTAGGATGTCTTGCCCGTACTTCATTAAGGGAAAGAACCAGCATATTTGAGCCTTGATTTATGTGTTCTTCACTATCCCACACCGCATAAGGTTGCAGTTGCCTGCTGATCTAGGAAAGACAAGCAAGAAAATGGATTTCCCTCTGAATGCCACCCTCTCTTCATTGCACTCCCAGGCTCTGACTCATTGAAGTGACCTTATTCAGGACAACACCTAAGCACAGCCTTTGATGCAGAGGGATTGCAATAAAGTGCTCTTTCAAACATGGAACAGTCATTTGCTAAGATAAAGCCCTGGGGTATGGACTACATTACTGTGCTGTTGCTCATGCTTATCACCCTGGAGTACCTGCATCAGGCCATACTTCTGCCGTCCCTGGTCCCAGCCGTTGTCCAGGAGCAGGCCGACACGGCTGTCCTGGGACATGATGGCACCGATGAGCGATGGGTCCAAGCACAGGTTTCTGGCTACTCTCTTAATTGGGATCTCGTATCTCCTCAGGCGTACGAGGTCTGGCTCTGCAGTCCTTTGTATCATGGCATATCCTGCAGCATAGGAAAAAGCAGACTTACACACACCCCTGTCCAAACCCCTTGCCTCCCCCTTGAGCAGGTGTGTCAAAGGAGTAACTCAAGTATTTAAGAAATTGCATCTCCATCAAGTTGGGCAGTGGAGTTTGAGGAACAAGCACTGCTCTGTTGGCTCTGACCATGGCCTGGGAGTTGCTGTTCCACTACCCAAGGATGACCAGGGGAACAGGGAGGATTCTTAGGGGGTGGAATGCATGGTCATCTTCTTCTTCTGCACCTCTGGAATCAGAAAAATGAAGTTTCAAAATGGATTTGAAAAAATTGAGGGGGTGTGTTACTACAGACTGGCCACACTGCAGTAACAGCTATATTCTATTGCTAGAGAGGGGGAGCTTTTTAAAAGCAAACTTGGAGCAGTTTGGAAACAAGCAAGCAGATTCAGATCTATGCTTGAACACCCACAGTAAGGTGTCTGCTCTGGAAGAGCCTACATCTGAGGAACATGGCAAAATCCCTGGAGATATCAACATGATGATAATCATCAGGATGAATGTGACATAGTCAGCTGCGTGGTGACACCAAGCAGTAACAGCAGGCAAGAAAGAGAGAATTGTGAAGGAGTTACCAAAAATAAATCAACCAGAGGTAGATTCTGGTAGACACCTGGGACTTTACTGGCAGGTCAGCACTGGCCAGCTCAGCTGTCTTGCTAGCACTCAGGACCTGGCTCTGTGTATCTTGGATACCCTTGGTACCCTTGAAACAGACGAGCCCTGAGGCTTTGTGAGGAGGCTGATGCTAAAATCCTGGCTGATGAAGAAGCTGTTTTAAATTAAAAAGGGTTGAAACTATTTCCCTTTGCTTTGAGTCCAAAGATCCTGACTATGGAAGTTTGTCCTTCCACTTCCCGTCTGGTCTGGAGGCTTCACCAGCTATTTTGGGAGAGGAAGTGTCGCTTTCTCCCTTTTGGCTGATTGAATAGCTGCACCACATTTAATTTGGCAATAACAGAAGGTAAGGCATATCTCTGCCAGGTACAAACAAGTTGACAAATCAAGCAATGAATGATACATACCACAATCAGAGGATCTTGCAGGATCTCTTGTACAGGAGACCATGGGGACTTGTACAGCTCTTATATCGCCATAGCAACTGGAACTCACAGAGGGAGCTGAAATATTAAATGAAGGTGTTTGAGCACGTAAGATCTCAGAGCAGTTTTGTATGCAAGTGCATACAAGTCAAGCATGAGAGAGTCCAGACCTGCAATCCACATCCCCTTGTGGTGGCCCTGCTTGTACGGTTGCCACCGCTCTCCATCGGTAATGTTATCAAAGAAAGGTAGAGAGCAGAAATTGGTTCTTTTCTAACTGAATATTGAAGCAAAGGGTTCTAATGACCATTTAGATGAATATGCACTTGCCCCATTAGGTCTAAAGGCTGGTGTGGGAGAGGAGAACCAGAGCCTCTGCATTTATTTCAGAGGGCTGTTCCCACTCAATGCCTCCCAGTGCTTGGAACCACTGAGATGATGGCTGGTGGTAGCTGAGCACCCTAGCTGGGATTGTCTCCTGTGTCAATAACTTGGTGAGGAATTCATTCAGGAGAATGCTTGCCTCAGTCTCAGAAAATTACCCCCTTTCCTTGGTAACTGAAGAACAAATAGCCTCCATCAAACAGATTGCCACTTTTATGAGAGCATTTCTGAGAAGGCAGGGAGATTGGATAAAGTTATCTGGGAAAACCAAGAGGAGACATATCTGTGACTCCCTTGGTTTCAGTCCCATCCTCCAGATGAGCTGGTTTAAAAGACATGTGTGGGCAGCAAGCAGCCTCATAGAGCAGCTGAGGACCTTCAGCCACACAGGATCTTTCAGAGCCATGCAGGAAGGAAGCCTCAGGCCTGACTGCACACTCCCTCTCCAAGACCCTTCTGCAAACAATTCCCAGTGTGCTTTTGACAGCAACCCAAACCTGTCTCACCAACAAGAGCTGAAAGACCCAGCAACAGCAGTGTGGGGATCATGGTGATGGCTCTCCTCAGCTGTCCTGGTCGACCTGGAAACACAGTGGTTTGCAAAACATGAAGAAATTACTACTGATTTTCAACAGCACTCTAGCAAAGTTGGCATGACAAAAGCTTCCACCCTGAGGCACCAGACAGAGATGGCATTAGCTGAAGAGGGTTTGGGTAACAGAGGTATTTTCTCCCCTTGGGAAGATTGGGGTCAGGGAGGTTCCTGTTGGCAGCCTGGACTAGCAGGGGTCTTTTTAGCCCCTGTCAGTTGTCACTGCTTGCTCACATGGCCCCTCCTGAAGGCCCATAGTGTGCCTTTATGATGAGCAGGTCCACTAGCTTTGCTTTAATTTTTTAGGTGTTTGAAGTCTAATGTGCTATAAAGTGCACACAACCCCTGCCTCTCTGTTCAAAAAGGATTTTTCCTTAGCTTTTGGAAAAGCTTGATTTCAAAAATCAAGAACTATGACCCTTAATACTCTGCTAAGAGCATGCAAGGCAACTCCAAGATTTATTTGGTGAAATAATACTTCTCTGTGTGATATTGGCAGGTAACCACTTTATTAATAAATGCATGTGTTGTGCCTGTTAATAAAATTCCAAAATATCATCAGATGATAGCTATCAAATGCAAAAAAAATTGACTGTATTTGCCTTACCGATGAACACATTTACACTGAGCAGCTTTTATGGCTTAGAAATGTTTTGGTTTTTTTCCCAAGTAGATTTCAAACACAAAACACATCATGAGTCTTGTAGGCAATTAACGCTAATCCTGTTAACACTTGAAAATACACTATCAGTTTTAATAGCATGTGGCCATTTCTCTAGGCTGCATTTCTACATCTGCAAACCAGCTCATATGGATGTAGAATAAATAATCCACAAAAAATCCACCAGTATCATTGGAAAGACTCCCTTGTCCTGACTGAGCTTATTCAGGCCAGGAATGCCCGTGACCAGATCAAGGTACACTAGGTAGCTCCATTTGAGCTCTGACACTAAAGCTAAGTACTCACAAGCCCAGATCTATACAGCTTGACCCAACACCTATGAATTCAATGGAAAATCCATCTGGGTCCTTACTGAAAGCTACAGGACATAGCTTTTTCCACATGCAGGAATTTTTTTTTTTCACTCCCATCACAAAAACCTCAGAGGCCTTATATAGAAACAGCATAGCAATCACAATATTGGCAAAATGCTAAATCAAAACAAATCAAGGCTTCTTGTTCTAAATAAATATTCCATGAATGAATTCAGACTCACCTGTATTCAGTTGTCCTTCCTCTGAGGCAGGTCACTTGATGACTTTTATATATATATGTAGGAAAAGGTATCCACCCTATGGGCTTTGGAATGTTAATTCCTACCTAGTGAGATGACTGTTTTAAAGTACAATAACTAATATATATTAAGAGCTTAGAACTCAAATGATTTCTTTCATCCAAAGATTTGCACAAGTGGTGGTTAGTCATACTCGGGACAACTCTGTGAAAGGAAATAAACACTGGTTTTACTCCATCAATAAGGACATTGATGCACAGTAAATGACTTGCAGAAATTATTGAAGTGAATCAGTGGCAGAGGCCAGGCAAAAAATCAGATCCCTGTTGTAGTCCTCTCCTGCTTTGCACCTGGACATATCTCTGGAAGGATTGTTTTTGTCTTGTTTCCTCAATGATTTCAGATAGGCAAGCTTTTAAGTATCATACTTCCATATGAATTTTAACAAGGACAATTAAGGAAAATCATCCCACTGCTTCATTGCTTACAACAAATCTAATTCAGGATGGACACTTCCAGAGCAGAGGCAGAGGCAAGCAGAGGCAGGGTCTGAGTTTAAGACATGGGGAGGCAGGAGGTTGCAGCAGAAATTAGGAGAAATAAACAGTGGGAAAAGTTAGTGGGGAAACACAGAGGAGCTCTGGAAGACTTGCACTTTGCAGCCAAGACACTTTTCACATATCTGAAGCATCTGAGACACTTGGAGGAGGAAAGACAGTTTGGGAGGCCAGTACCCTTCAATTCTGTTCTATTTGCTACATTTTTCTCTTCCCTAGACTTTGCCCAGCATGCATGGAAGTTAGGAAGGCCAAGATTTTTTTCTGGTAGCTTTCTCTTCATTCTTTAATGCATCACAAATACACCTATTCCCATTGCTCTTTTGGGACTGATGTGGCAGGTAGGAAATACTGTTTTGGCCAGATACTAATTAATATGTTCAAAACCAGGCATTGTTACAGGAGGTTTGTAAGGATTAAGGTGGGTCTTAAATGTTAAACTCCTACTGAAACCTTCCCAACAATTACAACAATGCTAGGCAATCATTCTTCATGTACAAACCTGACATCTCATTATGGTATCTCAGACTAGACTATCATGTAATCCTTTTTCTGGGGTTTAACATTTTGAACAGCAGAAGGTAAGGTCTGACATAGTGTAAGGTGCACATCTTTGTGGTGTTGTCATGGTTTAACACTTAGAAAATAGAAAGAGTATAGTGTGCTTTAATCCTTTCAAAGGGCATAGCAACTGGTTAAATGCTGGAGGGAAGGAAAACCAGAAATGATCTGGGAAAAGCTCATAGTGCACAGCTTGATGGCAGCAAACCCAGTAGATACATTCATTTATCCTCTACAGAACAGGACAATTTGTATTAGAAGGAGATGTATTCTCTTAAATAGATTATGAAAATTTAGTATTAACATCTGGGTATCCTTCATAAAAACAGCATCATGTTAGTGACAAAAAACTGATGTTCCTCTGTCCTTGAGCCTGTGTCCATGCTGATTGCTTAGCACTTTCTTTGAGAAGCAGCCTATAACCTTAGGTAAGATTTATTTCTTAATGTGTTGTCCACTTGCTGACCGTCCTTAAGATAAAGTTTTGAATTTAAATACTGTTTGTCTTTGCTACATATTTTTCTCTTTAATTTGTTACCATGTAATCACATTTTTCTACATTTTACTGTAGTCACATGAATTCTTAATGCCTATTCTGCATTGCAATACTCCTTATGTACTCATTGAGTAGTGAATATTATGTTATAAATACAAAGTTTTTTTATCTGTGCTGTTATAAACTCTTGGGTCCCTGGGACAGATTCCTTGTATTCATACAAATTCCACTGTAAGTCAAATTAAGAGGATACTTTTTCTGCAGTGTTAGGGACTTTTTCTCAGTCAAAACCTCTTTATCCACACAAATTTTTCCAACTGCCTTTTAGAGTAAGAGCCAAAAGCAAGCACCCTCTATGGAAACATGCTCATATACCCTGAAAGGAACAGGGCTCTCAGCCAATGTATTTGTCCAAGGCACCACCACCATCTAATGTGAACTGCATGATGTTAGAAAACACCATCTTCTGCTCAAAGGTCTTTGTGGGGCTTTAAGTGCAGAGCACTGAGTGTAGGTGGGCCACTTCATGACAGTGGTCTGAATCTGTCTCTAGTACAGCACATCTTTTTCATTTTTATCATAGATTTAATTTGGAAAATTACATCAGGAGTACAGTGTCAGTATCCATTCTCCTTGTGCTGGATTTGGTCAGCACAGCATGTGACTGGGAGGGAGGTGATGGAAAGTCAAGGAAAGAGGAGTTCACTTATCAAATAGTATCTGCATCTTCTTAAATTTAAGAAGCAGGAAGAGTTCCTGGTTAGCATTAGGGCATCCTGGGCATTAAGCTGCAGTTGGTGACCACAGACACGCTTTCTCTGTGATCTGTCAGTGACACTGTTGATTACATTCAGGTAAAGGGAGAACAGAGTGGACAAAAAATGTTACCTGACACAAGAGCATTTTCTTCATCTTACATAAATTAGAAGGGACCACTCCTGAGATCTAAAGCACACCAAGGTTCAGTACCAACAGTTCTTTCCTACTCACAGATTTTCACTTTATATTTTTCCCCCTCATGCCGAGGGAAGTTTTTTCATTCCGCTTAATGGAGAAGTGATCAAAATGGAGCACATTTTTGAAATGCACTACATACTGCACATGTTATTCTTCTTCAGGTTGCAGGTTTTAGCATCACGTGTCACTGGGTGGTGAGAACACCATCTAAAATTACTTGGAATTAATTATTGTCTCCATTGTGAGTTTCAACTTGTTTCATAACATCGACAGGCAGATGAATTTCTCAGGTTGTTCCTTTTGTCTCAGGTGTAATTATAGGTAACATCAGGCATTCTCAGACTTTGTAACTGCTTTATAGGGAAGCTGCCCATCATTGCTGACGTAGGTTGGATACCTACCACTAACTGACCAGTTAAAGATGCATGTGTAGCATCATCTCAGACAAATCCTCTATGGTTGTCCTTCCCAGCTTTTAAAGGGACACACCCAGTTTAATAATGAAATTTCCATTGTTTTTTACATCTGTTGTACCTGGAAGTAATCACAGAATCTTTTAGGTTGGAAAACACTTCTAAGATGATTGAGTCCAACCATTAACCCAACACTGCCAATTCCACCACTAAACCACGTCCCTAAGCACATCTACACATCTTCAAAAGTCTTCAAACTTGTAATACATGAGGTTTTCAGTTTTCACTGTATTCAGAAGTGAAAAAATGCTGAGGGTCCCAATCTCTTCCATTGTCTTGCCTTTCTGAAGAATGCAGATGAGCATTGAAGTAACATCCCACTCTGCATCTCTCTGGCCTTCACATAAAATACGTAAGGCCAGAAGTGTTTGTGAGGTAGGAAAACAAGTACTTTCCTTCTATTCTCTAAAATTAGGTTTTTAATTTTACTGTAGGAAAGGTGTCCTAGCAAAAAGGTCACTGGATTGGATTCTATGAGAGCTTGTTCCCATTCCATCTTAAAGACAGATCTATCACTCAAAGCAAGTAATTCATAGTTTGAGCCAGGATAGGGTCCTGCACATGGGTCGGGGCAATCCCAAGCACAAATGCAGGCAGAGGGATGAATGGGTTGAGAGCAGCCCTGAGAAGGACTTGGGGGTTTTGGTTGACAAGAAGCCAAATGTGACCTAGCCATGTGCACTCACAGACCAGAAAAGCAACTGTGTCTGGGCTGCACCAAAGTCAGTTGTGGCCAGCAGGCTGAGGGAGGGGATCCTGCCCCTCCACTACAGTTTCATAAGATCCCACCTGGCTTAACACATTCAGCTCTGGGCTCCCAAAACAAGAAGAATGTGCAACTGCTGGAGCAAGTCCACAGGAGGGTCACTCTGATCAAGTGATCAGAGGGCTGATGCACCTCTCCTATAAAGACAAGCTGAGAAAATTAGGATTGTTCAGCCTGGAAAAGGAAATACTCTGGGGAGACCTTATAGCACATTCCACTACCTATGGGACCAAACAAGAGAGTTGTGGAGGCACTTTGTACAAGGGCATGTGAAGGACACTATCAGATTAGGGGGAATGGCTTCAAAGTGACAGAGGGTAAGTTTGGATTTGATACAAAGAAGAAAATCTTTGTGTGAGAGGCTGAAACAGGTTGCCTAGAGAAGTTGTGGGTGCCCCATCCCTGGAAATGTTGAAGGCCACAATGGACAGGGCTTTGAGCAACCTGATTTAATGGAAGATGTCCCTGCCCATTGGGTTTGGAACTAAGTGATGTTTAAGGTCCCTTCCAACCCAAACCATTCTCTGTTTTGAGGATAACTATTAAGGGTATTTCTGTGTGCCTAGAATTAATGATACAAAGAATTGAGGACTGTTAAATTCTAGAAAACAAACAGGAAACAAGGGTTTCTTCTAGGGCAGTGGACTAACAAAAGAAATAATTAGCAAGGAGGAAGTAGATTAGGAAGCTAATTAATGTTGTTCTGTATATTACAATCACCTGATTTTCATACAATGGCATCTTGAGAAAAGCCAATTGTTACTGGAGATTGCATGGTTTGTGAAGAAGGTAAGTTAATTTTTAAACCTTTTCTATAAGTCACATGATGAAGTCATGCCACCAGGTGGGTGATGGTTGAACAGGCTGTGTTCCAAAATGATTATATTAACACAGATGCAACACTGAGCTGACACAGCTATGTGACTACTAGATCAGTGTTGGCTTACTTTAGGCAGCTCAAGCCATGGCTGTAACAATTAATCAAAAAACAAAAAGTAGCTTTAGAATATGCATCTTAAGAGCTTTCTAAAAGTAACTTCCTAACTACTTCCTTTCCACCAACAAGCACCCAATATCTCTCAGAGTACATGCACTTAAATTAATTAACCAAATTTGAACAAGGTATCTTTGGGTGAATCTCTGGGGTCTGTTGTATTGTTTTAACCAGTTTGATGTGTTACCTTAAATTGATGAAGAAGGTATGAGCGTAAGTTCCCTCCTGTAGCATATGCTACAGATGGTGCTCTGCAGAGGGATGGGGAACAAGGAGTATCTGCCAGACTGCAATGCCTTGGATCACCACAATCATATTGGAGTGGCTGAATGCTGAAGGCTCCCAAGCATGATACAAGAACAAAAGATCAGAGCAGACCTTTTTGTGTCAAATGTGTGGAACCCATCTCTAGTTATCCTTTAAACATGGCTCAGGAGCAACATACCCCTCAGAAGAGTTATCAAGCAGTCTACTGTAACATCAATACCCTCACCTTCCGATTCATGTTTTGAATTTGCCTCCCTCCACCCTGTGACACTTGCAGGTAATCCAGCCTACTAATGGGGTCTGAAAGCAGCTACTCAGTTGTTGCCCTCTCCAGAATTTGTTTCTCATCCTGCCTCTTTCTGGGACCAGACTTCTTCACACTTTCAGATGCCAAAGCTCAACTCAGCACTTCACTTCAGGATAGCTTTCTTGAGTAGAAATACAGGAAAACCCAGGACCAATCACTGATCAAGAACTGTCTAGTGAAGGCCTCATAATTCAGCATCAAGAGCTGAACAACTGAGATCCTGTTTGGTTATTATTATTGCCTTCATGGTTTTTTTTATTATTTCGTACCAAGCATCAGGCACACACTTAAGCACTGATCATTATTAAAGTTATATGCTGAGTTCAGGCATTAGCCCCATCACTTCCAAAGCTATACCTGAATATTTCTCATCTCTTTGTTGTCTAATAACCCTTCATGGCTGACACATACCAGACCAGGTACCATTTTGTGATTGGTCTAGGCTCAGGAACCTTAGTCAGTCATGTCCTTGCATACCTCATCCATCTGCTGTAAGCAATTAATCACATAAAACCTGTATTCCTTCTGGATACTGCAAATCATCATCATCATCATCATCATCATCTCATCTGTCAGCCATACAGCCACTAGACTGCTGTTGACAAAGTTAATCTTTCTTTCTGCTTTTCAAGTCTGTACAACTGACATTTATTTAAGCTGGTGTTCTCTGTATTGTGACACTTCTGGCTTGCTGTCCCAGGTCTTAAGATCATGGACAATTCATTAATTTAACCTGCACAGCAAAATCATTAAACTCTACCACAGAAGAGTAATTACTTTCTTACCCCTCAAACTAGATTAATTTCCCATTTTTAAAAGAACTTCTAGGTTTCAGCAAAAACAAAATTTTTGGGTTTGAATTGTTCATCTCAAAGTAATAACCAGGATGGAGGTGTAACCAAGAGGACTGTTCAGTAACAATTTTAATGTTAATCAAGACAGACTATGTAGAAAGCAGACATGAAATTAAAGATTTGAAGGAGCAAATCTATGAGATTGCTACTTCAAAATAAATATAAGCCTATAGTACGAACAACTACAAGTAACAACTTTCCTTGTTAGCCATGTCCATGGCAGGGGGGCTGGAACTAGATGATCTCTACGGTCCCTTGCAACCCAGCCCACTTGTGAGTCTGATTCTACCCAAGCCACACATTCCTGCAAACTCCTTGTATCCTTGTATGTGTGGTCATGTTACAAGCCTGATGAAGGAAGAGGTCCCAGGAAGAATGAAGGAAGATTAACCTAGAAAAAAAAAGCATCAGCTTAAAGTGACATGAAACCACAGACTCCAAGTAGGATTTGCACTGTTTGTAATGAGGCTATTCACGTGTGGAACTGAGTAACCTCCAACAACGCACTGTGCTGGAATCCTGACAAGCCCATGTGTTTCCACACAGCACGCAACTACATTAGAGGTAATATTTCCACAGCTTATTCAACACAATTAGGGCTCAGTGATGAGTCCTGCTAAGACACTTGTTAAAATACTGTTGGAACATTGGTTCCTGAATTTCATGCAACTGGATGCAGGAGAAAAAAAGCAGCACTTTCTAATGTATTTAAAGAGTTTGTGCATTAAAAAGGGGATCAAAGGTGAAGCAAGCCTCCTTTATGCTTTTCGTAGATCAACAGGCTGCTGTGTACATCTTAAGCTGATTGTGTTCTCAAAGTGATCTTGTATGTTAAGTACATACATTAAGAACAGTATATTCTCTATTAGAAATCTAGAAAGGGCTCATACAAACTTTCTGATGGACTTTATTAACAGAGAAATTAAACCACAGCACCTAGATCTCCTTCTTTGAAAGGATGCAGTAGTCAACATTAGAATTAAAATAATTTTATTTCAATGTACGTGAACAGAAATAAAATATAATTTTTTAAACTTAAAGAGATATATTGCTGGGCTGGCCCAATCACAAGTGTTCTCTACCACAAGGCAGCAAGACTGGCTAGACCCACTTCACTGCTTTTTGGACCAACTGGATTCAAAGTCCCACCTCAAAAGGGTCCTTCAGCACAAAGCAAACATTTTTTTTTTTTAAATGAAAAGAAAACTCATCAACTATTCACCTAGCCAGGAATTTTACATTGTGTCCAAGGAAGATCTCTCTTAAAAATTCTGTCCATTACTGAAGAACAGCACACAGTATGCGGCACTATATCTAAACTTAACAATCAAGGTTTCTCCCAAATACTTTTCTCTATTCTACTCTCTTGTACAAAGCATCTGCTATAAAATCCACACATTCACAACCACAGAATGATACAAACCCGTGAACAAGGCTGTTTTCAATATGTTTGTTGCTATGTGCTATTACCTGCTGTATCAGCTCTGACATGCAGCATTCATAGATGGTAAAAGGGCATTTCTCTTGGCCATCTATTTCAGAATTCACAGAAGTTATGAGTGTTTTTACAACTTATAGTGCAATGCAGTTAGTTTATTCAATGGCATGATATGGCACCATAAGATAAGCAATTATTTGTTAAAATGCACAATTTCTTTACTAATAATTTTGTGGTGCTTTACTGACAATGTAAGCAATAATAAATTTTAAAAGACAACTGGAAGAGGAACTGACAGAGAACAATTTTTTTTAAGAAGTGTCTGTTACCTCCTTTAATAAAGAAAAACAGAAAAAAACCCCATCAGATTTTATGAAAACAACAGGAAGTAGTTCCTCACACAGCCCAGTTAAACTATGGCCTCCTTGTCACATGATGTGGATGCCTGGATACTATGAGGATTTAAAGAGATTTTTTTTCTCCATTATTTTAAGCAGCAAATGCTCCCAGATAGGGCATTCCCCAAGCTACAGATTGCTTAAAGTAGGTTGTGGGGAAGCATTGCTATCCGGTCACCCTGTCTCCATTCTTCCTTGTGCATCTTGTTTTAGCCACTGAGACCGGATCCTGGGCCAGAGGGACCTTCGGTCTGACTTCATACAGCTGTTTTTAAGTTATTTCAAAACATTTCATAAACTTATACTTAAGACAAAGGGCTTAAGTTCATCATTTGCCATGTTGCTTAGTTAAAAGGACTAAGATTTTCTAATTACAAATGACTTCTAAAAGAGGAAAAAAAAAAATACTTAAGCTTTTCTCTGCTATGACTCAGTTGTATAAAACTGTATAGAAAAATGAGAATTATGTGCAGATGTAATGAAAAGCAGTAAGCTTTATAAAAAACATTCTTAGAAATGTACCACGCATAAACAAAAGATGATTTACAAATATATTTAGTGGCTCTTCTAATCATCATCAGAATCTGAATCATATATCTTTCCTCTGATGGTCTTCTTGTCCACCTTTGTAAAGCTTGTTCCATATTTCTTTTGACTTTGAAAAGGTGGGTCCATCAAGTTTCCACTACAGAAAAAGAGTAAGACAAGTTGATTAAAGCCATATTCATACAGACAGTAAGCATCATCTCTAATGACCTGTTTCTCCAGAAAAACACATTCTAAGAGAACACAATACCGATTTGCTACAGCCACCCTAAGCAGCACTGTGGTGTTGCTAGCATAGCACATCCTGGTCAAAATGGCCTAGATAACTGGAGTTAAGACAGCAGTGTGAAAGTAAACAGCACTGTGAGTGGAGCTGTAGAAAAAAATTGTCTGAAGAGGCTTTTCCTGGATACCGATCATGCTAAAGACAACCATTTGTCAGATTAAACTGTAACCAGGGAATTACAGAGACACTTTCAAAACTGGTGAGGAGCTACCAGTACAAAAGAAGCTAAAATGTTGCTAATGGAAACTTTGTAGCCAGAACTGGGGTTTGCCAGAAGTGCTATCTCTGCCTAGGCCAGACAGAGCATTTTCCCCACA